TCTCGACTTTAGCAAAGCCTTCGACAGAGTCCCCCACGAAAGACTAATTAGAAAGGTAGAAGTACATGGCATCAAAGGTGATATCCTTAAATGGATTAGGGCGTGGTTACAGGACAGGAAACAGCGAGTGAACATTAATGGCACTAAGTCCCATTGGAGCAACGTCACAAGTGGAGTTCCCCAAGGCTCAGTACTTGGACCATTATTATTTATTATATACATAAACGACATAGATATCGGCATAGACAGCAACATAAGCAAATTTGCTGATGACACTAAAATAGGACGTGTTATTAAATCTGACGAGGACTCCACAAAACTACAGGAAGATCTAAACAAATTTTTCGAATGGTCTGAAAAATGGCAGATGAAATTCAACATGGACAAATGTAAAGTACTCAGTATAGGAGATGTAAACAGGGAAACCAGATACCAGATGAACAACGATGCCATAGAGAAATCCGACTGCGAGAGAGATTTAGGAGTAATGATAAGTAGGAACCTTAAGCAAGTAAACAATGTGTTTTTGCTCGTAACAAGGCTAATAAAGTACTTGGGTTCATACAAAGGAGTGTTAGTTACAAGACTAGCGAGGTCATCCTAAAACTGTATCTTGCTCTTGTGAGACCACACCTGGATTACGCAGTTCAGTTCTGGTCACCGTATTACAGAATGGATATAGAATCCTTGGAAAGAATTCAGAGGAGAATGACAAGCCTAATCCCGGGCATTAGGAACCTTGAGTATAGAGACAGGTTAAAGCATCTTAATATGCACTCCCTCGAGAGATGTAGAGCGAGGCGACCTGATAGAGGTGTATAAGTGGAAGGCAGGGCTAAACAAAGGGGACATTACAAAGGTACTCAAACTATCCAACCAGGAGCGAACTCGTAACAATGGTTTTAAATTAGACAAATTTAGATTTAGGCGTGAAATAGGTAAACACTGGTTTGGAAACAGAGTAGTGGATGAATGGAACAAGTTACCAAATATCATCATTTACTCGAATACGCTGAATAGCTTCAAACATAGGTCGGATGCTTATATGAGCAATAGGGGATGGGTATAAACGGGACTGCCCAGTATGAGTCAATAGGCCCGCTGCAGTTTCCTCCATTCTTATGTTATGTTGAGTGTGGGATTTTTTCTTGAAAATTGATTACTTTACGATAATGTTTTATTAACCAAATGTACAATACTTAAATAATATGGGAATTGTGGTGAAATTGCAAAATGTTGAAGTAAGGAGGTGGAAGGTTACATCAATGTTCAGGAACTGGGGAAAGGTAGGGGAGAGGATGTTCAGTCTACCAGCCAACTGCCCTGCCTCCTACCTCTCCCTCACACAACACACAATTCACTTCCTATTTTTAATTTTTCTTATTTTATAAATTAAAATATATTTTCTGTATTCCTACGTAACATTAGAGCATTGAAGTGATATTTATATTGTATATTCCTTATTTCTAAGTCAAATTAATACCTTATACAGTGGGGTATGCTATAACGAACGGATCCTACTAAGAATATTCCTATAACGAACGGTTTTACCTATAAAATTGAGAATGCTATAACGAACGAAACCCCTACAACAAACATTTAATTTTTTTTTTTTTTTTTAATTTATTGTTTTTTTTATTCAAGTATTAATGATATTCTTTATTTCAGGGGTTTAGATGCATATTTATGCACTTTTTTACAATTTTTACAATTTTATATTATATTTTTCAGTGTTAAGTGGTTGTATTTGGGGGCCTGGAACGGATTAATCCTATAACGAACGAATGCTATAACGAACAAGGTTCTAGAACCAATTAGATTCGTTATAGCATACCCCACTGTATAGAAATCCGACTGTGAGAAAGATTTAGGAGTAATGATAAGTAGGAATCTTAAACCAAGTCAACAATGTACTTAGGTTCATACAAAGGAGTGTTAATTACAAGACTAGCAAGGCTATCCTAAAACCTATCTTGTGCTTGTGACACCTCATTTGGATTATGCAGTACAGTTCTGTCACTGTACTAAAGAATGGTTGTAGAATCCCTAGAAAGGATTCGGAGGAGAATGACAAGATTAATCCCTGCATTAGGAACCTTGAGTACAGAGACAGGTTAAAGCATCTTAATTTGCATTCTCTCAAGAGATGTAGAGTGAGGGGTGATATGATTGAGGTGTATAAATGGAAGTCAGGGTTAAACAAAGGTGATATAACAAAGGTACTCAAACTATCCAACCAGGAGCGAACTCGTAGCAATGGTTTTAAATTAGACAAATTTAGAATTAGGGGCGAGATAGGTAAACATTGGTTTGGAAACAGAGTAGTGGATGAGTGGACCAAGTTACCAAACATCGTCATTAACTTGAATACGCTGGGTAGCTTCAAACATAGGTTGGATGGATAAATGAGTGATAGGGTTTGGATGTAAACGGGACTGCCCAGTATGGGCCAATAGGCCCGCTGCAGTTTCCTTCATTCTTATGTTCTTACTATTTGAATTATATTTCCACAACTTTTATGGTTTTTTAGGTTAATAAACACTGCGGCAGACAGCGAATTATGAATAATTGACGGCAAATTTTAAAATAAAAGGCTAGTAATAGAGGTATCTGCGAATTTAAGAATGCAAATTCATATTTCACAAATTATCACGACACCACTATATTGGTAAAATATATATCTTGGGAGTCCCCTAATATGAATTATAATAAGTCATGTGTTTGCTGTGCTGCTGACCTAGAAGGTGTAATGACCTAAAAATGAAAATATAAATTTGTACAGCATACTTATTAGGACTACTGTATCTTTCACTTATGCTGCATCTAGAAAAGCTTAATTTTGTTCTGAACTTTCTCAGATACAGTAATATATAATTTATACTTCTGTTTGTCATGAGAGTTTGAATTTGGGACACTTGCAAATTATGTCAAACCCTGTACTGTGTATTAATGTGTGCTATGCATTTGTAAATTATAATAGAGGTTGTACCTCTCTAGTCCGGCAACCTCAGGACCTGACCGGTGCCGGACCATGGAAATTTCTGGACCATGGAAATTCACCCTTTTCCTGGATAGATAGTGACTTGTGCTTATGCTTGGAAGCACTAGGACCACTTTCTCTGTTTCATGGTCTCTTTGAAGACATATTGAAGCGTTAAATGTCGTACAGTAGCTTCTCAAATTTCACGAGTTTTTAATTCGAAGTTTTCTATTTGAACACACAAAAAAAACAACACATTTAAAAATTTTGACGGCGGAAACTCGAATTTCGACGGGTTTGAACGGCCCACCAACGTTCAGACAACGTGCACAATCTGTAAACAGCGTCATTTCTCTTATGTACAAAAGATTCATTATTGTTTATTACTGAAAGTCTTTTTGATTGAATTAATGTTTGTGTGTGCAAAATAAGCAATACAATTCATTAATAATACGTAGAATATTAAAACACGAGGAAATGAGACAGCATTGTTTTTGTTGATTACAAAACCAGTGACTGACTGGTTCTACATATAAAACTGAAGAAAATAAGACCTTGGTTGTAGCTGTAGTAAAATTAATATGGTAGTTTTAAGAAATGTTATTTAATGTTAATAAATGGAACAATAGAAGTAGCTAACAATAATGGTAAAGAAAAAAGAGAGATCGCGTATGTAAGTGCGCATGCGCACATGTGAAAACATATCGTCATTACTTTACATAAGAATATGAAAGCAACACTTATTTACTGTTCATATATATTTTAATTAATGTTTCTGAATTTGTTTTTATTGAATTAATGTTTGTGTGTGCAAAAATAACAATACAATTTATTAATAATACGTGAAATATTGAAACACACGAGGAGACGAGACGGCTGCCGGCATTGTTTTTGTTAAAGCTTACAAAACCAGTGAATGATTGGTTCTACATATAAAACTGAAGAAAATAAGACCCTGATTGTAGTTGTAGTAAAATTGATGTAAAAAAATTAATATGGTTGTTTGAAGTACCTGTAATGTTATTTAATGTTAATAAATGGAACAATATAAGTAGCTAACCATTAATGTATGTAAGTGCGCACATGTGAAAACATATCGTCATTACTCTACATAAGAATATGAAAGCAACACTTATTTACTGCTCATATATATTGAAGGGTTAAATGTTGTACTCTGTATAGACAAGCAGAGAGAGAGAGAGAGAGAGCAGCCGAACTGCCGGATGTAAACAAACCTAAATTTCCCACGGTTTTTTTTTTTTTTACGGGGATTAGCCCACCCGGGCATAGGTCACTGACCCACATTGGGGCCTGAGGGGCAAAAGTTTAATACTCCTGTAATAATAATAATAATTCAGATAAGTAAAAATAAAAAATAAAAAAAGCTGCCTATCTACCTATTGGACAAACTAAAATCGTTTCAGACCACGGGAGTTTCCGAACAACAGAATGCCGGACTAGAGAGGTACAACCTGTATGATTAAATTGAATGCCATTATTTCATTTCAAGTATTAACTGCAGCAGGTGTTGTTTATATGTCTAGATGTTACATGATGAAATGTAGTATTCCCTACTGACGTCACATACACAACCTGCAAGATATTGACACTTACATTATTTCATCAACATTGTCGAATTATTCAAAGTTTCACATAGAACAACTAAACTTTAGTTTAGTGTTATTTTAATCTGTAATCATCCTTTCAATGTTTACTTAATAATTTGCTTTCTGGATGCTATCATGCTTTAGTAAACTTCTACTGAAAGTATACATAAAAAAAAGGGGGGTGGGGGCACGCTAAAGTCAATCATCTTATGCCTGTACAGTATCTGAAAGACAAGTTGATTTTTCAATATTGATCAGATTCTACGTTGTGCAAGTATAAGACTGAATTTGTATTAAATTATAAATAAAGATATCAGAACAGTTAATTTACAAAAGGAATAAAGTGCTTTCAATATACAAAAACATTCTTATCAAAATATCAATTACAAAACTAATAACTGTAAGTACGTCACCTTATGGTTGAAACTTATGTTGAGGAATACATGACGGGAACAGAGTGGACAAGGCGCTGAGATGCAGTTGTCTTCTAATATGATCAACACCTTGTTTTTATTCCCATTATTTATACAACCTAAAAAAAATCAGAATAAAATAAATTATAGTACTGTACCTGTATCACAATACATATTCTAAAGATTCAGTTGTCACACAGACTTATCAGTAAAATACACAGGTTTGTATCAATCATCTGTACCAGCCTCCTGTTCCACTCCCTCCTAACTGACCAGGGCCATCCCTAGGGTATGGCAACCGGTGCGACTAACCCGGGCCCTGTGCTCGTGGGGGCCCCACAGCCCTTACCTCACCCAACACTAGAATTAGTGACTGCGTTAAGCTGACCTCACCTTACCACACAGATTCAGGAGACCACCTGTTAGGCAGTGCATCTGCTGACATGATGTCAAAGGTAAGAGTAAGCCACCCCATCTTACCACCCAGACTGAGAACAATGTCATTCCTTACTGTGCTCTCTGCTGAAGGGGACTGAGGACGTTGACAGTGGTCACCTGTCACTGTTGTCGAAACTCTGAATCTCCAGTTGTCCGTGATTTGTGTTTTGTGAAATTGTTGATATATTTTACTATCGTACACAGCCCTCGTTTTTTATTCTACCATGGCCAGCAGGGATGGAGACAGATACAGAAAATACATCGAAATGTCAATGAAAGGTTCCCTAGAAAAATATGTACTTTCAAAAACGCCAGAAACTAGTGCAAAAAACGACCTGGGTGACTGTGATGGTGATAGTGTGGGTCATATTCAAGTTGAGGAAGAAAAGAGTACTGAAAACAAAAACACCAAGACTTTCAAAATGGACACTTCTACCTACGCTAAGTAAATCACTGTAAGTGCACGTAATCCAGGTACATGCTGATAACTACAAGAAACAAGAAAACACGAAGTTCCCAAGCGCTTTTGTGTAATTCACATCTTCAGGGGTGAGTACAGACTAAGGAGAAATACATAACAAGGCATATATATACAGTAGAGGAGAGTGAGATCAAGTCCCTAGGGGACAGTGAGTGTCCACAATGGTCCGGTCACCAGGCAGTGACCCAGCTAATCTTCATAAGAACCGCAGCAGTCGGTAGTCAGGTCAGAGGGTAAGATGACCCAACCTTATCACCTGGTTACAAATCTTCTTAATTGCAAAATTATCCAGTTTGTAAATACCATTACTCAAATTCATGTTGAAGGATTCGGTAACTTAAATGAGACTGGATTCTATAATGTTCCTACTGTCAATTGAATTACAAGGTAATATTGAGGAGGCATTATTCCAGTCAATGCAAAGCTTAATATCCCTCAAATGAACAAACAGAGCATTGGATTCCTGGCCTGTCCTAACATTATATTTATGTTTTTTAAGTCTAGTTACAAGATCTTTACCTGTCTGGCCTAAGCAAAACATATTATATTCCTTTCAAGGAACCTTATAAATGCAGCCACCTGCATTGTTAGGGGAGTTCTTGATTAACATTTGTTTTACAGTGCATGACTTTTTAAATGTCACATTGACATGCCAGGTTTTTAGTTGTAAAGGAATTTGAGAGTAACTTTTGTGAAATGGTAATACTAAGAGATTCTTATGGTCATGGGTGGGCTTGGGATCGGTTCTATAAAAAGATTTCTTAGTAATGTTAAGGCATTTGTCTATAAAAGATCTAGGGTACTTAAGGTTCAAGCCAATATTATAGATATATTCTCAAAGCACGTAAAAACATTGATGAAAATACTGACTGCTTGACTCTATTATGGTGGGCAGAATAATAATGAATGTATAAACACACATTAGTAGGTTTCCTATAAATACTGAACTTAAAGGTGTTACCTATTCTGTGGATCAGACAGTCTAGGAATGGCAATTTACAGTCATGCTCTAATTCCACAGTGAATATGATCGAGGGGGCTAAGTTGTTAAGTTGTGACAGGAAAGCTTTTAGGTCCTCATTACTAGGCCAGAGACATAATACATCAACTACATATCTAAACCAGACTGCTGAAGGAGGTAAAATATTACTTAATAGTTTCTTTTCAAAGAATTCCATATACAGTGGGGTATGCTATAACGAACGTAATTGGTTCCAGAACCTCGTTCGTTATAGCATTCGTTCGTTATAGGATTAATCCGTTCCAGGGCCCCAAATACAACCACTTAACACTGAAAAAATTATGTGGAAAATGTAAAAAATACGGTACTTTATCTTACCTTAGTGTTATTCAGCATGCAGGTACCCCTAAACACTGGCACATCACTATCACTTCCACTGGGAGTCTTGGCTTTAAGGTCCTCAAACAATTGTTTAGCCTTCTCACAAATTATAGCTTCACTAATGTTACCACCTGCCATTTCTTTCTCCTTTATCCACACTAAGAGTAAATTTTCCATCTCTTCAATCACATTACACTTTGCTTTGCTAAGTCTAAAGATTCCCTTAGCCACTTGCACAGTTTTTAACTCCTCTTTATTCTTCAAAATCGTACATATAGTCGATTTAGCCATCCCATATTCATCACTAAGTTTCGCAATGCTTCTTCCATTCTCACGTTTCTTTACAATTTCTTTCTTAGTTTCAAGGGTTATTAGCTTTCTCACTCGCTTTGGACGACTCATTGTTACAATTGTATACTTGTATAACAAAATAGTTATACAAATAACGCGAATTTCCACATCAAAAGACGAAATTTCAACAATAACAGTGGTGCACTGGCTACACAATGAGACAAAGATGGCGCCTGACGCTCTTGTTGTGGGTCGCGGTACAACAATATTCATGCGCCAGGCGAAATAGTCCCGTATTCATCCGCGTTCGTTGTAGGAGTTGTGTTCGTTATAGCATTCTCAATTTTATAGGTAAAACCATTCGTTATAGGAATATTCGTAGTAGGATCCGTTCGTTATAGCATACCCCACTGTATAAGTTGCTTAATACTGGTGAAAGCAGATTACCCATTGCCATACCAAATTTTTTAGCATAATATTCTCCATTGAATTCAAATTTACAATCCTTAATACATAGTTTGATGAGTTCGATGAAGTCGTCTTTCGAGACGGGCAATGAAATATTGTCCAGGGAATCTATGAGGAACTCCAGTAAATCATCAACTGGGACCTTTGTAAGGAGAGATGTTACATCAAAACTGACCAGTTTAAAATCATAATTAATGTGTAAGTTATTGAGTTTATCAACCAGATCCATATTATTCTTAATATTAGAGTTAGAAATGTTGCCAACTAGGGGATTTAGTAAAGAAACTAACCATTTAGATAATTTATAAGAGATTGACCCAACTAAGCTAATGAAGGGTCTTGCTGGGTTATTAGGCTTGTGGGTCTTGATTAAACTGTACATGTATGGCAGTGGAGGGGACATTGAAGTAAGATGTTTAATGAGAGTAGCTTTGCCTCTCAATAGAGACTTCAGTTTTTTGTTGAACTGGGTGTTAACTGTGTTGAGAGGATTATTTATGAGCTTCGAATATGTTGCAGCATCACATAAAAGGTAATTCATTTTAGAAATATAATCATCTTTGTTTAAAATCACTACTGTGTTGGCTTTATCTGCTTTAGTAACATGCAGGTCCTGATTTTTCTTAAGGGCTTGGATTGCTTTGGTGAATCTTTCTGGACAGTTTCGAACACAAGGCTTAGACATAGATGCAAACACATTACCTTTACACATGTTCACTTCTTCACTTGTGAAATTACTGAATTTCTCCAAATTGCAAAATGCTCTGGCTATGTCAACACTGTCGACTCCCTTGTTAGAGCCATCAAAACTTAAACCATAACCGAGGGCACACAAGGTATCATTGTCTAGTTGTTTTGAGGAGAGAATCACTACACAGTTGTGATTGGCATCCTTAGTCCAATCACAATTTCTAAAAAATTTGGGGGCCTACTGATGAGTTGGGGCCCACAAGTAGGTAAACCGGCCCTGCTTAGAATGACTCAGCGTATCGGCATCTTGGTTATTTACGCACTAATGTCTCTGAATATCACACCGAAATTTCTGAATATTATATATATATATATATATATATATATATATATATATATATATATATATATATATATATATATATATATATATATATATATATATATATATATACAGTAGTACCCCGCTTAACGCGGTCAATTGAACCCACAGGGTACCGTGTCAAGTGAAAACCGCGTTAAGTGAACAACAGAACATATGGGATTAATTCCAATAGAGACTGGCCCGACCCCCAAACTCCACTTTTTCCAACACAATACCTATGTTCTAGTGAAAATAACATCTTAATTTTATGATGGTACATGCACACAATTAATACTTAAGAGAAATAGAGAAATACAGTCGCCAAGTTAATGTCCATTCAAATAATGGACTCAACTCCCTCCCCCTCTTCTCACACTACACTCGCTGGCTCTTCCCTCTCAGAAATTTTTGGGGGAAAACCAGGTAAAGTAATAAATAATACCTCAAACTAAAGTTAGGATAATATAATTGACATTGCTGGATTCCTTGTAAGACCAGGAATATTTTGAATATAAATGTCATATATTTTGCACAAAAGATAACATATTTACTCAGAGTAAACATTATATCTAAAATTTGTATGTCTAATGCAAAATCTATGATGTTTATATTCAAAATGATCATCAAATTGTAAGAATTTCAGCAATGTAAATTATATTCTGGCAGGGTAATTTGTATGAATTTTATGAGCTAAAACAAATATCTTCAGTTAATAAAAAAAAAATATTCTTCACACCATGCCAGATAGTCGGTCGGTCCCTCCCTCCCCCCCACCCCCACCAACCCTCCTTACCAGACGTGTGGGAAAACCAGAATATTTACCTTTTTAGTAATAAATAATACCTCAAACTAAAGTTAGGATAATATAATTGACATTGCTGGATTCCTTGTAAGACCAGGAATATTTTGAATATAAATGTCATATATTTTGCACAAAAGATAACATATTTGCTCAGAGTAAACAAAATACTTAAAGTAGATCTAAAATTTGTATGTCTAATGCAAAATCTATGATGTTTATATTCAAAATGATCATCAAATTGTA